CACCCTTCAGCACCACAAGACACAATCTACGTCACCTAAACTCTAGTCTGAAAACCACAGTCGGGTCTCATCTGCAGGGATTCGGATGCAGATTTGCGTAACCGGGGGCGATTCTAGGAGTACTCTTTCTAGCTATGCTCAGACCCTTCTGACAGTGCAGGCTTGAGTAGGGAGGCGTTCGGGGATGCTGCTCTGGTGACCGGAATTTAAAGGGAAGTTTGGAGCACAGAGGCTCTGGACTACAAAGAGCCCCTGAAGCCATTTGAGTTTACACTGTTAATTTTCCCGTGCCGAACCTGGGGCCCGAGACTCTAGCTCTACGTTATTAGTTTGCTGATGCAGAAACCCATGCCCAGATCATTAAGAGATGTTCCGGGAGCTGCAACGTTACTCATTGGCAGAGCTGCCAGCCGCATCCTTCTGATACCAGACTTGTCTTAGATGACAAACCCTGACAGTGACGCACAGCACAAACATAAGAGGATGGCCTTGTGCAATCTACTGCGAAGTCTCTCTAGGCCTTGGCCTCATCAATAGACCAAGAATAAAACTCAACGCAGGGCTGTCTGTCAGACCAAGTAACATAGCACATAAGGTTTTCATAGGACCAGACCTGACACTACGCCCACAGTGAACGCATGCTTTGGGCTATGTTCTGATATCTATGTTCAGGTGTCTTTGTCTCTCCCGTCTCTCCATTTTTATTAATTCATAATCACAGTCTGCTCACTCTCCATCACCCTAGGAGGGGTGGAACAAAGCAACAGTAGGAGTGACTGTCCTGATCTCCCAAAGGCTTTCTTCCAAAGCCTAATCCCTGGGGCCAGGGGAGAAGCCAGGGACAAACGAAAAGTCATGGCGAGGAGCCTGGGGACAAAATTGAGAGAGGATTGCCATCATTGGGGACTCAGGGTTGGGGTGAAAGAAACGGACAGGAAAAAATAGGTCCTGAGTGCAAGAGGAATCGGGGCCTACACTTCCCAGTCCCTGAAAAGATGGGGCTGCAATGCTAGGAACCCCCAAACGGCCAAGCAGATGCAGACAGGAGTGGTCACAATTCACCAGGAGCATCTCCCTTTCCTTCCATTGGGGCCATGATTCTCCTAAAACCACGGGGAAATCACAAGCACAGGACGAGGGAGAGAGTCTTACAATCATGGCTGAACCGTGAGCAGGGAGGAGCCCAGAAAGAGAGTTAGGTTTCCATCAGCTGTGAGGAAGAGAACCATGGGGTCGGGTTAAAGTTGGTGACAGTAATGCAGCCAGTGCCCATTGCAAATGCTGTGGCTGAGTGCCCAGAACCACTACGGCCAAGAGGAAGGAACTCTACGGTACGTGCCAATACACTGCCTGTGAGAACCCTGAGCTAGTAGTCTAGAGGGTAGTGTAAGCTCACACCATCTCCCAGCATCCTCAGGGCTGCCCAGAACAGCTGACAGCACTCTTGGGTGCTGGGGCTGGAGAGATGACTCTGGGCTAAGAGAGCATCCTGCTCTGACAGAGGACCACAGTTCAGATCCTAACACCCAAATCAAGCAGCTCACAGCAGCCTGTAACTGCAGCTGACACCTTCTTTTGACCTTCTGGCTACCCACATGTGTGTACACACTCACACGCTCACACACACACACACACACATGCACACACTCACACACGTATACACATTCATACACACCAACACACACTCATGCATACACACACTCACATACATGTATGCACTTACACGCGCGCTCACACACACTCACACATGCTCACACGTACACACTCACACACATGCACACACTCACACACATGTACACACATTCATGCACACCAACACACTCATGCATACACACGCTCACATCCATGTATGCACTTACACGCGCGCTCACACACACTCATACATGCTCACACGTACACACTCACGCACATGCATACACACTCATACACATCAACACACACTCATGCATACACACGCTCACATACATGTACACACTTATACACGTGCTCACACACTCACACATACCAACACACACACCAACAAACACAAATATTTTCTAAAAATCTGCACGTCTCAAGATCCGAAGAGTTTTCTACACTCAATTAATACCCCCTTAGCTCTGAAACCTAGTCTCCCTCCCACAGCCTACATCCTTCTGGGGTTCAGCACCACACAACACATTTATGAGCTCAGAAGACATCTGGCCATGCCCTTTCAACACCTCCCAGCCAAGACGTCAAGTGAGTTTTCAGCTAGCTTGGAAATCTTCCTGGAAGGTGGTCCTGAGGTGGATAGCTACCAATAATAGCCTCTGGTCCGTGTGGGAGTGGTTGCAGTCCCCTCAATGGTCCCGCACTAGGCCCAAACTAAATGTGCTCTTCACTTCACCTACCAGGTTTCAGAATGCCAACAGCCTCTGAGGGGCTACCTCCCCTAATGAAAGTGGGCGGGGGGCGAGCGGACGCACAGCGTGTGTTTCGTTTTGTTTTTAGAGACAGGGTCTCCCTGGCTGTCCTGGAACTCGCTCTGTAGACCAGCCCGGCCTCAAACTCACAGAGATCCGCCTGCCTCTGCCTGCTGAGTGCTGGGATTAAAGGTGTGCGCCACCAATGCCTGGTTCAGCTTTTGGTTAAGACATCTGTTTGAAATTTTACAGAAGCACCTCCAACTCTCTCTGTCTCTGTCTCTCGGTCTGTCTCTGTCTGTTTCTCTGTCTCTCTTTCTCTCTGTCTCTATATCTCTGTTCTCTGTCTCTGTGAAGTCATTCATTGACCAAGTCACTGACTGCGGAGAGATCACTACATGCCCGCCTCCTAGTGGAATCAGTTGGTACTACAACTGTTACATAGGGGTTTGGCTCACCCCCCACCCCCACCCCGCTCTACTCACGGGTCATAGGCTCTGCGTGTTCTCACGCAGAGAAATCTATAAACGTAATCGTTTTTATTAATGCACTTCTAGAAAGAGCTACATTTTACTCACCTGGGTAGTAAAGGGCATCTAATGGTGTCGAATCAGGCCGGTGGGAAAGGTTGATCCTTGAGGAGCCTTAGGCATTCAAACCATCCAAGACTTTAGTCCGAGTTTTGACTGCGTCTGTGCTGGCTATTGCTGCCCCCTAGCGGCAATATTTTGAAACTAGAGCACTCGTACTATGAAGTAATTTTCTTTTAGAGCTTTCTTCTAAATTCATGCAGCCATTCACTTATGTATCCTTTTATAATACTCACTTATGCATCCTTTTATAATACCTTATGGCCATATGTGTGTGGCTGTGTTCATGAAATAATGATCATAGTAATAATAATTATAGAGAAATATATTAATAATAATAATAATAGAGAAAATCCCGCTCCACTCCCTAGCTCTTGGAAACAAACCAACCCTCTTTGGGGAAGAACAGCCAGAATTAAATGAAAAGGCTTTGACTGTAAAATTCCACAGAGTGATACAGAATACAGGTTTGTCTTACTGGAGAGGGAAGAAACAGAAGTCCTGAGGCGACACCCACTGTCTCTCGTCTGAGAGATATCATGGAATAGAGGCAGACATGCAGTTTTCTGTGCAGCAAGAGCAGAACAGACACTCCTGTCAAGTGCAAACAGGATGTTCTCCAGAACATACTATATTCCAAACTATAAACCTAAAGGGCTTGAGTCATACAAATCATGTTCTCACCATGGTAGAGTAAAAATCTGAAATCAATAAAAGAAAGAAGTTTGAAAAACTTCAAGCACAAGGAAATTAGGCAATGCAGTATTAAATACAGACAACCTGAGTCCGCAGGTATGAGTAGGAAAACTTTGCTCTCCACGAGAAGTGTTAGAAATAAGTCTCAGGTCAAAAAGCAAGAGGCCAGAATTCCAACTGAAGTGTCTGGACAAGGCAAACCTCACTCGTGATCAGAGGGTGAGCTCAGAAGAGGTGAGGACACGGGAGAGGACGGGAGTGCATTTGGATTTCAGTCTACCTCAGGCGGTGAGTGTCTGCTCCCCACTGTCTGGAGTTCAACCTCAGTCGTAACTGGCTAGTCTGAAGAGTTGGCACACAGGAAATGAAGACAGCAGAAAGTGCTCAGTTTGCCCGGAAGAAAGGAGTCACTGCTCCAGGACATCAAATTCCTGGAATACAGTGATGGACCTTTGTCTAAACAAAGGTTTTTCTGGGTGAGTGAAGAATTAAAATGTTTACATAAGAGTCTTACAATTGGGGGGAGAGAGAAAATGATTGATAGTATTTGATAGAAAAGTCTCACGTTTGGTATTTCTTACAGAAGGAGTCAAATAAATGTGTTATGGTTATAGCCCAAGAGTCTCGGTGTCCATTTCACTGTTTATATTGACAACACGATAAACAGATATGCAGAAAAACGAGCGCGGGCTGGCAAGACGACTCCACAAGTAAAGGAGCTCGCAACTGAGTGTGTCCTGAGTTTCTTCCTCAGCACCGTATGGTGACAACAGAGGAGAGAGACAGCCACGGGAAGCTGTCCTCTGACCTCCACACCTGCACTGACATGAATGCATCCTCCACCCCATATGTTAAAAAAGAAAGGCGGGGAGGGGGAGAGAGGAGAGAGACTCGGCGATTAAGACAAGTTTTTCAGAAGCCCTGGGGAATCTCTGGTGGTCAGGCTGGGTGGCAAACGCTCGCTTGCCCTCCGAGCCGTCTCAACGCACAACAGCAATCCTCTGAAGATGACCCGGGAAATCCGCATTTTTTTGCAAGAAGAAAGAACGAGGAAGCTGTACCACATTCCACTTTCAACAATGCGGCGGCTGCCGGCGCTGACTTTTGAGCACCAGGAAATTGTTGGAAGCCTTTCTGTAAATCCAGTCCATCGCTGCTAATTCACTGTTTTGTTAATGATCAGCCCTAACGGGAGTGTATAAAAATCCCGGGGCGCGTCGACTCATTCCGTTAGGTCCACTGAGTTAACTCAACTTCCTCAGTGGAAGCAAGGACTGGCGGTCCATAACAAACATGGCGGCCGCGGCTTCACGCGGACCGCCGGTCTGCTTGCGTCACTTCCTGCGCGCCGCGGCTGGCGGGGGATGCCCGTCGCCGAGGACGCCGAAGGGTTGAGCGCCGGGGCCGTATGGAGGGAGGGGACGAGGAGCCCGCGGTTGTGGCCGTGGTGACGGAGCCTCGGTTCGCGCAGCGCTACAGACAGTACCTAGAGGAGCGGCAGCTCCTGGACGCACGGCACCGCGTGCAGCAGCTGCCGGGTGGCGCGGGGGTGGCGCTGCCCGTGCGCGCCCAGGCCGCCCCGGAGCGGCTCCTGCGGGAGCTGAGCGAGCGCGCGGCCCCCGGCAGCACCTGCACGCTCACGCGGCTCGCCCGCCCGCTGCCGTCGCGAAGGGCCCGGGTGTGCTCGCCCGCGCAGAGGCTGCGAGCCGAGCTGAGGCGCTGGGCGGAGGCCCGCGGGCTGGCGTGGTCCCCCGAGCTGGAGGCGGACGTGCCCCGGGCTTGGCAGCGGCACGGCGACCTGACGCTGCTCGGCGACGACTGCTTCCAAGCCGAGCCGTGGAGACGCCTGGGGCCGGAGCTCTGGGGCGCCGTGGCCTCGGCGCTCGGAGCCCGGCGTTTGGCCAAGCGGGGGCGGGTGTCCCCTGACGGTACCCGGACTCCGTCGGTGACCCTGCTGCTGGGTGACCACGGCTGGGTGGAGCACACGGATAACGGCATCCGGTACACGTTCGACGTGACGCGGTGCATGTTCTCGTTCGGGAACATCACGGAGAAACTCCGGGTGGCCTCGCTGCCCTGTGCTGGAGAGGTGCTGGTGGACCTCTATGCGGGCATCGGCTATTTCACGCTGCCCTTCCTGGTTCACGCCGGCGCTGCCTTCGTCCATGCCTGTGAGTGGAACCCTCATGCCGCGCTTGCCCTCAGGAAAAACCTGGAGCTCAACGGCGTGGCAGACCGCTGCCAGATACACTTCGGGGACAACCGGGAGCTGGAGCTCTCGAACGTTGCGGACAGGGTGAACCTGGGGCTGATTCCCAGCTCTCAAGAAGGCTGGCCCGTTGCCTGCCAAGTGCTTCGGAAGGATGTTGGGGGGATTCTGCATATCCACCAAAACGTGGAGTCTTTCATGAGAAAGAACCTCCAGAAAACTGTCCCCGATGAACGGGGAAATGGAAGTACTGGGGATGTCCAGGGGGAAATGCTGTCATCAGCCACCAGACCCGAGTGGCAAAGCTGGGCAGAGTCTGCAGAGGCTCAGATCGCCTCTCTCCTTCAGGTGCATGGGCAACAGTGGAGGACTCGCATCCTGCGTGTCCACCCGGTGAAATCTTATGCCCCCCACGTGGATCACGTGGTCCTGGATCTGGAATGCCGCCCTGTTCTCTAGTTGGCTAGAAGAGGTAGATTCAGGGACACAATAGAGCCAAGTGAGTGCCCCTTACCGCCTCAGCTAGGGCTGAGTTGCCTCACCCTTTGTTTTCTGGTGCTCTTTTGAAGTGATCTGTGGCCTGAAAATGAACTCCAGACCACTCCAAATAATTTTATTTTCTGTTAAGCACACCGAGAATGTGTTATCGTATCAGGAAACCGGCTTGGCTCATTAAACTAGGACTCATTTGTGCAGTCATGGATTCTGCATTTTACCTTCATTTTCAGTGGGTGTTGGTCGTATTTATTTACACATAGGGTTTCCTTGAGTTGGCTCTTGTGGCTTTTTCTAGTAATTCAGATACAGACATTGATTATCAGAGTGAAATACTAATTCGCTGTTAGTACTAGTCCCGCAGATCACTAGCTACGGCAGGAGGAATCACCTGGAAAGCCAAGATCAAAACAGGGAGCCCGGTGAGGAAGTTGTCCAGTTCTCCAGAAGTCCTGTAGTTGTTTAGGCACACGTGATAGTGGTTTGCACTAGGGTGACAGCCATGGGGATTTGAAAACTAATAGAAATGTTTGAAAAATAAAATCGGTGGGACCAAATAATGAGCTCCAAATGTTAGCCTTGGCATGGTCGTGTTTGTTACTGTGACTAAACTGAGGAAGGGGTTAATTAATGGAGGACACTCCGGTCCTCTCCTCAGCGGAGGGGGTGGGGGTGGGAGGGCCTTATCTATTGGGTCTTTTTATACTTCATGCTAAGGAGGATTAAGAAATACTTCTCTGTCCCAGTGTAGTAACGCATGCCTGTAATCTCAGCTCTTGAAAGGCTGATGCAGGATGCTGGCTGTAAGTTCAAGGATAACCCTAGATCATAAACTTTAGCCGTCACCTTCTTTCCCTGGACCATAGCTATAGGAAGAGCTGGAATAAAATTCAGTGTAGAGTACTTACTGGGTTCAACACAACACACAGGCTTAGAAGCCGCAGTACCAGCTGTTACTACTATAGGTAGGAAACACTGCCGTTTTCAAACCATCTGATGATAAAATCTAAAGGCTTTCTGCCATTGGGTAGCTAAAAGCTGAGGATCGAGGGGAACTGATTTTTGATGTGCTTTGAAGCCCTGGAGGCTGGTTTGCTTGGTGAAGGAGACAGGCCACAGGTGCCTGCTTCCTTCCTTGATGTTGCATGACCAAAGCTTACATGTGTTGTGCATGGCTGCTGTAACAATGGGGACTGGGTTGGTGCCTTTCCCTTAAATCGCAAATATTAAAGTGCCTTCTACATCTAAGAGCCACAGAAAATATAAAGATCCATTAGGTTTAAAAAAAAGCTCTCACGGAGGAGCTCGCACCTTAGCAGCGGAAATTACACAAGTCCACAGTGTTGGGGTGAAATGCCACGGGATAGATAACGTGCTGGAGAGGTGTAAAAGGGGGTTGAAAAGTTCTGAGAAACAAACAGGAAGTCTGTGGAAGTGGTATTTAAATTGGCTCTTGAAAGCTGGTTAAGAGTTTGACGGATGGGGAGGAGGCAGAGCTAGGACCCAGCATTTCAACAAGGGAAGTGAGCCGTTGTTGATGGGGACTGTTGTGACCCATGGCTTGTATACAGAAAGCTAGCCTGTGACTGCATTACGCTGGCCTGCCCTGTTACCAGGCAGGATGCACTCAGGCAGCTCTCTGGCCAGCCCAGAGTTCCGTGAGAACCACGCAGGTGCAAAGGACCCCTCTAAAGGACTGACCCCTGCCCGGTTACACTCTTACTCTTCCTCCCTTCCCCTCCCCCCCCCTCTCTGCTCTGCATGGATTGGTTATCTCTCACCTTCCCTGTCCACCAATAAACTCCACGTGGGATCGTTGAGTCACGGTTTGTGTCTCGTTACTGGGTAAACCTAGACATTTTAACAACAGTGACCCCACAGCAGAGGTCTGCTTTTTAACACTCCCTTTCAGAGTGATCTTCCCTGTCTAACCCAATTTACTCTCCCTTCTACATAACCCAGGCCAGCCTGGGATGGACAACTCTCCTTTTTTTTTTTTTTTTTGGAGACAGGGTTTCTCTGTATTGTTTTGGAGGCTGTCCTGGAACTTGCTCTGTAGACCAGGCTGGCCTCGAACTCACAGAGAACCGACTGCCTCTGCCTCCCGAGCGCTGGGATTAAGGCGTTCGCCACCAATGCCCAGCTCATAATGGACTATTCTTTAAAAAGGCTGGCAATATTTACAAGAGGTCCTAAATAATAATGATCGCTCCCACCAGAAATGCAGTATCCAGGTGTGCTAAAAATGGGATCATAGGACTTTTCATTTATTAAGGAAATCCTTGATCGGCCAAACCAGCCCTGTAAAGTCTTTCTAATCTTCAACTTTATCATAAAAATCAGGAGGAGGAAGACAGACCAGCACTTGTTACATCGGTGAAAGAGTTTTTGGCTCCAGAAATATCCCCCTCATAGTCAAAACCAACTATTGCACATATTCACTCATTTCACCAAAATTATTCCACCACCAAAGGAGTACACCTCGCTCTGTAGGTCTCTGTGATGAGCTGCAACTTGGAAGTCATTGTTCTCATTTGGAAACTCGGTGAGAAGGAGACAATCCCTCAGTGGAATCCAGGGACTATGAAGGCTCTCTGGCATGCCCAAGCTGTGGTGTGACTTAGCCCCGACGTCTGAGACATTCACCCCAGGAGATGCTGTGGCAAAGAGTGTGATAAGAATCCCTGAAAGTTCATGGTGATATCTAATGGAGTCGTGAGTGGATCACTGCAGGAGACAGCTACACAAACCAGAAAGACAATGTTCTACGTATGACAGTGGGAACAGTGCATCTCACAGACCATTAGTGGCTGTTCAGTCAGCTTCCCATGATGGGTAGGGTATTGTCAGACTCACCAAATTAAATCCATCTCTTTTGGGATTCATGGCCATGGCCCTGAGAGGCACAAGATGTTCAAACCCCTGTGTCCTGTCTGTAACCCCCAGTGTCCCCCCCCTCAGCTCACAATCACAGCCATTTGGAAGGGCTGTAGCCATTCTGAGCACACCATTATAGGGTACTGTGCATCTGGGGATGGATGTCAAGTAGTTTAGAATTCCCACAATGGTAGGTTGAATAATGGCTCTGAATAAATTCCTGTCTTACTATCTGGAACTTACAATGTTATGATAAAGTCATGATGTCAAGGTGGGAAATTATCCCGGATGATCACCAAGAGAAGCAATGTGGTAATTTGAGTGAGAACGTCTGCCTGCCATCGGCTCATATGTTGGATGGAACTGCTTGTGAAGGATGGAATTGTAGCCGTGTTGAAGGCGGTGTGTCACCAGAGATGGGATTTGAAGTTTCAACAGCCATTTCCAGCTGGCTGCCTCTCTAGATGTGAGCTCTCAGCTACTCTCCAGCACCGTGTCTACCCTGATGGCCGTGGACTCATTCTCTGGAACTCTTAAGTTCCAATCCATGTTTTATTAGATACCTTGGTCATGGTGTCTTTTTACAGCATAGAGCAGTGATTTAGACACCAAGACTTCAGGATAACAGAAGCCACAAGAGGAAACAGCGGCAAAAGGAAATTAACACATCTATATCTCTTAGGAAGCCGTGACGAGAGCTTGTGATTCTCATGCCAACTTCAGGGTCTAGAGGTCTCGAGTCCTAACGTAGGAACTAGTTCATCAAAAGACATAACAGAAAAAGCTTTAAACCTGCTAGGGTCCCTTGTGCCAAGAGACCACCAGGCAACGAGAAGCCACAGCCTAATAATTGTGGTAACTAAATCGACCAGGAGGAGTAGGGCTACTGTCAGACCGCAAGGATATGTTGCACACCTATCGGGTGCATTAGCAGCCTCACGAACTTTTCCTACCCGATGCCAGGAGTAGAATGGTCAGCTTCCAGAATGCCAGAAATATCTTGTGCATAAAAGCACATTAAAATGCTGTCACACTGTCAAAGTGAGCCTTTTATGAACTCTGAAGGTTAATGAAGACTCACAATAATCTGATGAAACATTTATTCAAGACAAACATTTATAATAAATGGAGAAGCATTTTAACCTACCCTGCTCCCCATCTCTAAAACAACGTTAAGACACAATGCCAACAATGGACAGCCCCAGCATACCCCTACCTAGGAAAATTGCCCCCAGAGCAAGGCTTCTTAACCATTCCCTTTGCCATCCCCGTGTCGCTCAAGACATTCTATGCTAAGTCAATTATATAGCACTGAAATGGAGATGTAGAAGTCAAGTATTTACTGGTAAATCATAAGAAAAGTATTTAAGTTTCTAAAGTTTCATACTAATTTTATCTTATTTTCTGTATAACTTCAAGCACCTAAAGGTTTACTTCCCTTGGCCTCAAGAACTGGGTTATAGAACAACCCCTTCTCCCCCAACACACACAATAAAAAAAGGTTGCATATTTTGGTGTCTCCCAGAAGTTAAAAGCTTCTTAAGTAACAAAATTTTACCATTTATGAAAGACAAAAGCAAGTCTGTATACTAGTGTTTATTTTTACATAAAGAATTAAACCTTGACAGGCGTTGGTGGCATAAGCCCTTTAAAATCCAAACACTCGGGAGGCAGAGGCAGGCGGATCTCTGTGAGTTCGAGGCCAGCCTGGTCTACAGAGCGAGTTCCAGGACAGCCTCCAAAACAATACAGAGAAACCCTGTCTCGAAAAACCAAAAAAAAAAAAAAAAAAAGAAGAATTAAACCTTGGTAGGCCTGTGAGAGGCTCAGTTGGTAAAGGCTCTTGCTACCATGCCTGAGGACAATGCAACTCGTGAACTCTTCAACATCTTTCTTAACTGACTGACACTTTGATTTTCTAATTGTCAATACTGAGACTGCAGCTCTGCTCAAACACAGTATCAAATGGCAGAAGTAGGTTTACCAGCATTTGAGAAATTGCAGAAATTCTATCCTAATATCAAATCAAAATTTACTTAGTAACTGTTTATTAAACATGAGTCAGCAACTCAACAATTTTTTTGTTATTGTTGTTTTGTATTTCAAGACAGGATTTCTCTGTGTCGCTTTGGAGCCTATCCTGGAACTTGCTCTGTAGACCAGGCTGGCCTCGAACTCACAGAGATCCACCTGCCTCCGCCTCCCAAGTGCCACCATTCAACAATTCTTTTAAACATACTTTTTCCCCCAAGATTTATTTATTATGTATACAGTATTGTCTGCATGTATGCCTGTAGGCCAGAAGAGGGTACTAGATATCATTACAGATGAGATGGTTGTGAATCACCATGTGGTTTCTGGGAATTGAACCCAGGACTCCTCTGAAAAGAGCAGTCAGTGTTCTTAACCTCTTAGCTGTCTCTCCAGCCCACAACTCAACAACTTTTAAAGCCAATCACTCCAAAGACAGGCCAATTTGGTAATTCACGCTGAGGAATGACAGTAGGAAAAATACTTTGCTGTTTGCTTGTTTTTTAAGTAGACAAATGTATTCCCTTTAACATAAAAATCTTTGTGTGTCCTAAAGAAAACAATGTTCTTCATATTCTCAAATATGAGCCCAGGAGTTTGTGTCTGAAAATGCCACCTGGCATGTGCCACACAAAATGCACACAAATGAGCCCTTCCAGAAAC